TGGCAGATTATGAGGGGAAGAAATTTGTTTCGATTCAAAAAGCCGACGTGAAACTCGACGAGACCGAGGAGGAGAAGAAGAGGTTCACCAAGATCAAGGACATGTACAAGCCTCTCACTGATTGGTGGAAGGAGACTCTCGCTGCCCTTACCGAGAAGGGTGCGATGAAGGAGTCTGGGGTGAAGATCGAGAAGGTGGAAGTGTCGAAGCGCCTGACGGACTCTCCAGTGGTTGTGGTGACATCGCAGTTCGGCTACTCGGCGCAGCAGGAGAGGGTCATGAAGGCCCAGGCGTTCCAGAACAAGGACCAGATGTCCATGATGGCAGGCCGCAAGACCCTGGAGGTCAACCCGAATCACCCTGTCGTCGCCGACCTCCTGACAAAGGTGAAGGCCAACAAGGAGGACCCCGCGGCCCTGGACACGGCGCAGGTGTTGTTCCAGACTGCGCTTATCGAGTCTGGTTACGACATCGCAGACCCCTCCTCCCTAGTCAATCGTGTGTACCGGCTAATGTCCAAGGAGCTGGGCGTGGACCCCGACGCGCCGTTGAAGGAAGTGGAGGTGCCAGAAGATGAAGAAGAGGCCGAGGAAGAGGACGAGGATGATAAGGATGAAGATGAGGACAAGGGGAAGAAGGAGGAGTTGTGAGTTGGACTCCTTGCCCGAATGTTGAACTTGTAGGAAGGGTCATGCATAGGTCGTGCTTGAAGGCCTTGCGCAGGCACTCCCGCCGCAGGGTGGAGTGCATTAATTAGTGGATCTCGCTCCCGAGCACGTGCTCATGGAGGTGGTTGCCCCCCGCCGTCTCTTTTCCAGCGTTGTTGCGTGCGACGCCCTACAAGGCAAGCGAGGACTTCCCCTCACATACCAGTGGATAGTTTTCCAGTCTTCGCACTCTGAAAACAGATAGTCCCGCTGCAGGAATCATGGGGAAACGGAAGTGATTGAATTGCCAGCATAAGCTTTGCTTGTAAGTTCGAACATGCTTGCTTCTCGTGTACCATCCGATCAACATATGATAACATGCGTGTCCAATGTGCAATTGCGATTAGCGAGGGGACCTTCAAGATCACATACATAAGCATTATTGAACTGTTCATTGTGTTTAACACACTTTCGTTCAAAAGCAGACGCATCGTTGGAGATATAATCAAAAGAGTTCAGACGGGTCCCCGAGTGAAGAAATAAACAATGGAAACCATTGTGCTTCCCAATGTTCTGAGGGGGCACATGGGGCCGCCTGAGCCCCAAACATGTGCAAAACTGCAACAGCTGTTCAACACATCTTCGGTTGGATATCTGATAAAGGCCGCTCGTTGCAGAAAACCTAAGTGTGTTCCCGATTGTCCGTATTTGCGCCACGTCCGCTTACGTAAAACCGTTGGGGATATTTGGGTTCATCGGTAGGTTTGAGCCTCCACATTTTTTCTCTGAGCCTCCCATCTTCACGTCTCCTGCACTTCTCCTCGCTCGCCGTTGTCGGCCGTAACTGGATCCGGACCCCCCCCTGGGAACGTCACCGAGGCGGTTTGGCATTCCCTTTGGGGTACGACCCGTGTGTCCATAATTGTTCTTTTGTGGTCAGTCGGGGAGCATGTGTCCATAGTTGTCCCCTGTGGACGTTCAGAAAGCTAGCCTAGGTGGTGGGTGACCCTGGTGTTTGTGCACCCTCTTGCCCCTTCCGTTAATGTCAAGACCAGTTCTGGAACACATGCGTGTCCTTTGAGGCATCCTCGTACAGTGGAGAGATTTGAGGCTACAGCCTACGACGCCGCTTCTGAAAAATGATGCTCTCTTCACGGAATTCTAGGAAAAATGGAGATGCTGGAAGCGCTCACGATCAAAGTATACCTTCACAGCGGTGCTCTCGCCTGAGGCATCCACGAAAAGAAATGATGATAGAAGAGGTGATATCAGATGTCGTAGTGGAGCTGATTGTTTGGAGGACGCCAAAGACCGTCCAACAAGCAAGGCCATTGAAAAACAAGTGGCTGATCAACAAGCGGGCTCAAAGTGTTGCGTTTTCCTAGAGGCATCCCCAAACCTCACTTCGGACGGGCTTTCGAAAAGCCGCGGGCAACGACGGGCAGCCATTCAACCAGGGCAGCCACTCGCAAACACAACACACGCAGTCGCATGCACGCCACGTATCACACGCACCGCAAGCACCGGCAGGCAACCACCTTTCAAGGTAGCCACAGGCAACCACTGAACAGACGCAGCCACGCGCGCACCACGCATCACACGCACCGCGGGCAACGACAGGCAGCCGCTCAATTAAGGCAGCCACAGGAAACCAGGAAATTAATAAACACAGACACACACACACACACACTCCGCACACGCACACCGCGTATCTCACGCACAGCGATCAACGACAGGTAGCCACCCTTCCTCGGCAATCAGCCACATTCGCACAGCGTATTACACGCACCGTGAACAAGGACAGGCAACCACGAAACCAAGGCATTTCAACGCTTCTCCTCCACTCCTTGCTCATCGGCGCCAGCCGCATATAGCGATAAGTAATCCTGGCGATAGCCTATGTATAGCATGTCATCGGTTCCTGTAGGCATTTGCAGGCTTGCCTATATACCTACTAGAGGTAGCCTACAAGTGGGATCTATCAGGCCTATAGGCAGGTTGCGCATAGGCCTACCATCTCATGCCCCATAGGCCTTGCTATAGTCTGTGCACAGGGCTACTATAGGCCTATGCATAGCCTATCGACAGGACAACGGCAGGCCACAACAAAGCCTGTCCATAAGCCCCTTGTATGTCGTTCGGCATCATTTCACAAGGCCTGTTGGCCCATGCATCCTAAGGCCTACAATAGCCCCTCCCTCTGCACAGCTTGCGCACATCTGTGCAGTAAGCCTACGCGTAGGCTGTGTACAGGCCTGTGGTAGGCCTCTGGTGGGCCTGAGGGAGACCACCGCTCCGCGATTGGCCTATGCGCAGCCTGCGCATAGGCCTACAACAGGCCTGCGCATAGGCTATTTACAAGCCTGTGGTAGGCCTCTGGTGGGCATATTGGGAGACTAGCGCTTCGTGATAGGCCTATGCACAGCCTGCGCATAGGCCTACCATAGGCCTGTGTATTGGCTACGCACAGGCCTGTGGTAGGCCTATGCGGTGCCTCTGGAGGTGCTGGCGCTCTGCCATAGGCCTATGCAAAGTTTACTCGTAGGCTTGTGCCTAAACTACCCGCAAACTTGTGGTAAGCTTCTGGTGAACCTGTGGAGGGGCCGGCGCTCTGCGGTAGGCCTATGCACAGTTTGCGCATAGATCTACCATAGGCTTGTGGACTAGCTACGCGCAGGCCTGTTGTAGCCCTCTGGGGGGCCTATGGAGGTGCCGGCGCTCCGCGATAGGCGTATGCACAGCTTGCGGATCAGCCCACAACATGTTTGTTCATGGGCTTTGCATACGTGTGTGTGTGTGTGTGGTAGGCCAAGGCCGAGGAGGAGGAGGAGGAGGAGGAGGACCAAAATGCGGAAAAGAAAAACACGGAAGAGCCGTGAGTTCGACCATAGAGTTTAGAGGTTATGTTTGGGGGCCATGTGCAGCCACTCCCGCCGCGTTGGTGAGCATATTCTAACCGTCCGCTTCCGAGCGCGTGTTTCTGAAGGCGTTCGCCCGTCGTCTTTTACCCAGGACAACGCAGGGCGACGCCCAATGAGGCAAGCGAGGGGTCGTCCTCATATACCAGTGGGTTTGCTTCCATTAGGCGCACTTCGAAACAAAAGCCCTCCCTCTTCCCCTCTTCTTCTTTCCTCCATCCCTCATCCGTCCCCCCCACCCCAAGCACCAGTGCTGGGTTCCTTGTCCCGTCGTGGCTTGTAGCTCGACCCCTCTTGACCAACAGAAAATTCTCAAAAGGTTCCATTCCCCATCCCGTTCGGCCAGCGCATGCACTATGAGAATGCTGGCGCCAGTCAAAGTGGATCCATAACAAGAATTTTCGAGTCCACCTGTGCGCCGGCTTTGAGTTGCTGGAAGGTTTTGGCGACTCATGGAGAGGAGTAGGTGGCCTCCAAGAGAGCAAAATGGCCTGCGGGTCAAAGGTCGCCCAGAGGCCTGCGCCATATGGAGACTTCCATATTGTCGTATAAGTATTCCTCCCTTTTCCTGCCCCCCCCCCTCTTCCACCTTTGTTCAGGGTTCTGTCCGGGATTGTCGGGCCGTTTGGCTTGACGTGATGCCCGTCGTGCGAGGTCGTCCTCAATTGGTCTGGAGCGGCCCCAGGGCCAGCTTGGGTTTGTTGTGGGGCCGTGGGATGCGGTTTCGCGGGCCGGGTAAACGGGGCCTTCTGACCCGAGCTCGTTGAAATTTGGTTTCCTCCGCTCGAGAGCGAAGCATCACTAGGCTTGGGTTCATAACGACAGCATGTGGACCCATTGAACACAGTGGTATTGGTTCGGCACATACTTAAGCGCGGCAGCGAATACGCATCAGACAGCAAAAGGGCCCCCGCATTTGTCAAGACGCAGCCCGTCTTTCGAACACTATTTCGTTCGCCCGTGCGTCGCAGATCCCCAAACAGTGTTGGCACTTAGGGGTTCGTACTTATGTCACTTTTGTCACTAAGGAATGGGATGGCTTTGGCGACAAATTTCCACGTTACCGCCCGTGGCCGCCTCGTACGATGGGTGGGTCTGGCGACGTTTCGCCTCGTTGCCGCCCATGGCCGCCTCGTGCGCTGGGTGGGTCCGGCGAGGTTTCGTCACGTTGCCGCCCGAGGCCGCCTCTTGGCCGCATCTTTCGCTGGGTGGGTCTGGCGGCGTTTCGCCACGTTGCCGCACGTGGCCGCTTCTTTGCCACCTCTCACTTGCACCACGTCTACTGCGTCACATAGCGTACACGACATAGATGAACCACATAGCTCACACACAACACAGTGCATTGACTTACTGCTTGGGGCCCACATTGGCTGGCATTCTACAACAGGATTTGCTGTTCCTGACTGGCCATAGTGTTGCCTCTTGCGACCGCGAGGAACACTTCAGTACGGCTGGGACGCCGACGCTAGTGTTCCGCTCCGCGCGTAACCGGTTCATCGTGCAGTACAGCACGCCGGACTTTAATCATGCTTGCGTTTGTTCGGATACGCGTAATACGTCAGGCGGAGGACGAGAAGTGTCAGGTGGAGCAGGAAGCGCTTCGATACACACAGCCATAGCTTGGACAGCAGACACCTTGTGAAATCACGTGCGTATCTATTCCAATGTGTATTCATGCCCAAGAATAAGGACGGGTCGACAGAGGACCCAGATGTCCAGAGGCCAGTTGAACAGAGAACCCAATCAACATAGACCGCTCCATCCCGGCTGGGTATCGTTTCAAAAAAGGTCAGATCAGCGAAGACCAGTGCCATTGACCCAGTTCCACAGACCCCATTCGCCAGAACAGCTTTCACAGACCCTGCACGACAGAAAGGGCCGTCTTGGGGCCCTTTTTGGCCCATCTGAGAGCTTCAAAAGAGCGTCTTGCGTTTCTTTGGAGGCCATCTTGGGCCAGATTCGAGCTCTCTTGGGGCCAATCTGGGCCATCTAGGGGCTCTCTTGGAACTTTCAGTGTGCCCTGTTGACCTTTCGAAGACCGCAAGTGGACCGATGTGAGACCGAAAAGCGTGGAAATCGAGACACAATCAATTACGTGTGAACTTGTATCCTGTTGCATCTCAAGGCCCTTCGAAATGGCGTCTTGGGGGTCTGTCAGAGCCTGGTGGAGGCCTTTCGGGACCTATTGGGCGCTTCTTGGGGGCTGGTGGGTGTTTGTTGAGGCAGACTTGGGCCGCATTGGCAGCCTCAGTGGCCTTCGGCGGCCGTTTTGATGGAGGGATTTGGAGATTGCCCGGAAGGCGCCGGGCCGCCCAAGAACCCTTGGGGGGAGGGGGGGGGCGCAGTTGAGGGTGAGGAGAGGAGTGAGCCCAAAAGTATTTGCAGAAACCTTACCAGGCCCGACTTGGCCTCATACCACGCCTCAACGTGTCAGGGAGCATGTTGGCGGCTGTATCTGGTCGGGCCTGGCTCGAGGGGCTCGAGCGCATGAGGAAGGGAGGGCAGGAAGCAGCCACGCGAAGTTGCCACTTTGGAGGAAGCAGTGGCTGCGGTGTAGAAGTTGGTTATAAGCTTCGGCACCCAGCAATCGATCACCTGGCCGAAGCTGTGCGAAAGAGCAAAAGGTACACCGTAAGTGCTTCAGAGGGACTCGCGTGCGGATGGCAGATTATGCATGACGGGGAGACGGTGGGCCTCCAGCTCCAGACCAGTTGGGAGGTAGATACCTTCCATGATGTTTGCTGCCTCCCCTCGGCAGGAAGAGGCCGCCGCCGCTATTGCACAATGCGACTGCACCGTGCTGGACGGCAACTCTGACATAATCAGGTGCGATTGTAGCTTGCTCTTCCCATCAGTTTTACGAAGCGCCGTGTTGCACGCGGTTATCCCCAGGGGGCCTCTGAACTTGATCAGGGTTCAGAGCTACTCGTTCGTCACGCCCACCACGAGAATGGGGGGGAGAGTATGGGAGATAATGTTTTCCCCAGGGAGGCTGCTCCCTCCCACCACGGGGTTCCTTTCCACCTGGGGCGGCGCTGTTATCTACGGATGGTTTTGCCCTCCTGGGAAACACTTTGTTTTCCCCCAGGGGTAAGGGCCTTCGTCCAAGGAGTGACCTTGCTTTTCTCCAGGAGCAGGTTTACAGGACGAGCTTGTGTTTCTTACAGGGAGAGTACTGGTTTCCCCCAGCTGCTGTTCTTCCCTGGACAAGGTTTCGTTTTCCCCTGGGCAGCGTGTTGCTTTCCCTCGGGCCGCGTCTTTTAACCCCACGCGTTGTGTTCCCCTGGGCTGCTTCTCGGTTTCCCTTGGGCAGGTGTTCGTTTCCCCGAGGCCGCGTTACGTTTCCCCAAAGCAGTGGATGGTTTTCTTGGGGCAGCCTGTTGTTGTCACTTCGGCAGGGTGCTAATTGTACCAAGACCGCGCTCTTTTTTCTTTGGGTAGCCCTTAATTTTCACATAGGCCACGATTGTGCTTGGTACCTGCCTAGGTTCCCGTACTGGATCCGTGCTTGGGGCGCAGACAGAATGTGTTTCTAGGCGACGTCGATGTTGTCGTCGCCGTTTAGAAATTACGCAGGTGTTCGCGTTGGCGTTCAGATGCTTGTGCATCGTAACTGGTAGCATCTGGACACTGATCGATCTTGTCCAGCTGAAAATCGTTACTATGAACATGTTGCGCCACACATGCGTTCAGGGAGACTGCGAATTTTGATCAAAAACGAACCGACCGAATACTGACAGAATACAACAGCAACCTGCGAGGGGCGACGGTACGGCCCCCCGTCAGGAAGGCACGATGGAGGCGTTCGCAACTGGAAAGAGGTTCGCCAAGTTTGCCATGAGTGATGCATGCGGGGCGGCAGGGCTTTGGTCGAGATGGTCAGAGGGGCCTCCAAGGGTCCAGCGCCAGGGGCGCTGAGGTGCCCGAGCCACTGCGCCGAGCGCTCGTCGGCTGCACTCGTCTGGGCCGGCACGGGCCCAGGGCGTAGAGGAGCAACGACCAGGGCGTAGAGGGCCCAGGGCCGGAAACGCCCTGGGCCGGCACGGGCCCAGGGCGTTTCCGGCCCCAAGATCCCAATGACGACCCACCAGAAAATACAGCACTTGCAATTTCACGGGTCTTTCGTAATGTATTGGTGACCTGGTCGTCCACTTCTTTGATAGGAATGAGCGTATGTCTTGCGTTATCCGTTCTACCGACAACGTAGGCCACTCGTATGAACGGGCGAGCGGTTCTACCAACGGAGTTTCTCCGGGGCTCTCTGAGTAGAGTTTGGGAGGCCTGAGACAGTCATGGACCCGTGACCCGTGAGAGTCCTTATGCTGAAGGGGCTGTTCAGCCGCCGAGAGCCCTTGCGGTGAAGGGGTTCTTACTTATCTCGCTTCAAGATCACTGAGCGCGTTCCACTACTCGCAAAGCGTCTACTCGCAGACATCCGACAAGGATGTATCTGCCGCGGCACAATGCATCGTACATCTCCCGCGGCGGGTTCGGCCCATCGGCGAGTAGTTACTTTGCGAGACGCGCTTGTCTGTAAGAATTGGGTCTGGACGTCGCATTCCGCCGTCGCCGCACAGGGCCCCTGCCATGGGGTCCCCCTCCCATGGGGTCCCCGCGTGAGCTGCCTCGGCTCGCCGCCGTCGCCGTTGCCGCTCAGGGGCCCAATCTCTGGTTGCTCCGCGTGTCGTCTTCAACCGCTGCAGCACCGTACCCCCTGCATCGGATATCCGCCCGCAGGTGCCCCTCCGTAGTTGCCCTTGCGCGCCGCCCTCCGCTCTTGCCGCACAGGGCCCGGGCATAGGGGTCCCCGCTTAATTTTCCCTTCGTTGTCGCCTTCTGTCATTGCCGCACAGGGTCCCCACCACAGGGTCCCCCATAGGTTCCGCGCCTCCGGGGGCCCTGCGCTCCGCCTTCCGCCCATGGGCCCCCCTTTCATTACCTTTGCGAGGCGCCCCCCGCTGTATGCGCTCAGGACCCCATTCCATGTGCAGGCGTTTGGATACTGAGGCGTGCCATTTTTACTTAACAGCGAAGACTGATAGGTTTCTAATGGTCTCAAAAGAAAACATCTTGAGTCCTCAAAAGGGTCTGGGCAGATGCCACACGGGTGCCGGGGAGAATCCGCGGAAGTCGCTGTAAGCAAACAGTTACACACTTCGTGGTCATTCTGAATGCCCGGAGCCAACTGTAAGCCATTTCGTCGTCTTCGAGTTCCAGAACTCCACTCCGGGGCCACATTCTGAATGCCTGGAGCCAACTGTAGGCCACTTCGTGCTCGTCGAGTTCCCAGAACTCCATTTCGGGCCACATTCAGAATGCCCGGAGCCAACTGTAGGCCACTTCGTGGTCTTCGAGTTCCCAGAACTCCGTTCCCGGGCATGATTTTGAATGCCCGGAGCCAACTGTAGGCCACTTCGTGCTCTTCGAGTTTCCAGAACTCCATTCCCGGGCAACATTTTGAATGCTGAGGCAGGCTGATGCTGCTGGCTGTCTTTAGGGCGGGTTTTAGTTGAGTTAGTTGAGCCCCCCCCCCCGTGGTGATGGTCATGGTGATGGTGATGATGGTGGCTATCGTAGTGATGATGGCGATGCGGATCATCGTAATGGTCATACAATATGATGATGGTTATGGTGATAGTGATGATACAATGATGACCATGATGATGATGATGATGATGATGATGGTGGAGCTGATGATGATGCTGATGATCCTTCGACGAACGACAATCGAATTTATCATCATCATCATCAATGTCCGTAGCACTTGGGTCAAGGCCATGTCCTCCAGCGCGCCCGCGGCCCCATCGAGCAGCCCTGCGGCCCCATCGACGAGCCCGGCCCCATCTTCGAGCGCGGCCCCGACGAGCCTTGCGGCCCCCTCGTCCTCGTCGAGGGCCCCATCGTCGAGCGCGGCCCCTTCGTCCTCGTCGAGGGTCTCGTCGAGAGCGGCCCCGTCGAGCCCTGCGGCCTCGTCCTCGTCGAGGGCCTCATCGAGAGCGGCCCCGTCGAGCCGCGGCTGCAACAGCTCGGGCGCCGACGCTGACGGAACGTCCGACGCCGACGACTCCGACGGAGTTGCCGACGCCGACGGGGTTGCCGACGCCGACGGAGTTGCCGAGGCCGACGGCTCCAAGAGCGGCTCCGACAGCGACTCCAACAGCGGCTCCGACAGCGGCTCCGACGAGGACCCGGGCTCCAGCGCCGAGTCAGCCGCGGCTGCGAAGGCCGCCCCGGGCAAAGTAGTCGAGAAGGTCGACATTGTTTCCATGACCCTGGAGGAGCACGTCGCCAGTCACAACTACCCAAAGCACGTCACGACGCGCGGCGCTTGCAAGTTTTGGAAAAAAAAAAAAAAAAAAAAAAAAATATATAACAAAAAAAAAAAAAAAAAAAAATGGAGCGCCTCTCTGTCTGCGACGAATCCAGTCACCCTGCAGCCTGAAACTTGGATAGGCTGCGCAGGTGGTAGATATGCAATCTGTTTGTTTTGCTCGGCGTTCAAGGGCCCTCGTTGCCAATCCACCATTGGGCAAGGCACTGGGAGTTTCGGCCGTCGCCAGAACCTCGCGCGGCACGCACAGGGCCAGGAGCACTAGGCAGCAGAGGCGGCGTGGAAAGAGCGGATTCGAGCGGAAGGCGCACAGCGGCAGGGTCGAGTGGAAGGCCCCACAACGGCTGCAACAGCTGCAACAGCCGCGGCCCAGGCGCCCGTCGTCGTCCACGCCGCCGGCCAGCGCGTTGGCGGCCGCGCAGTGGTCGCCGCCCGTGCACTCATGGAGACGTCCAGTTCCTTCAGAAGTTTCGATGTCTGGCGGGGTGCGCTCCTCGGGCAGGACCGCGGAGCTTTGGAGTCTTTTCAGCAGTGCCGAAAGGTGGTGGCCACGTTGGCTCAGTACGAGAAGATCGCGACGCAGGGGATTCGCAAGGAGGGAGCTGTTTTTCGTTTGGCAGCGGACGGCCTCGACCGCACGCACCAAGTCGAGATTGGCACGGCGTTGTGGTCGATCCCAAAGGCTCTGGACTTTCTCCCCGCGCACGGTCTCAAGGCAGGCTGGCTGGAGCAGCTGGGCCCCCGAGGGCCCTGGATTGCGGAGCGGGTGATCCCGCGGGTCATGGACGGCGACGGCATGGCTTCCATGCTGGGGGAGTGCGTCCGTCGCGCGTGCCAGACGGCGGGCGGGGAACTGGGCGTGGACTTGCGCAAGCACGTGCAAGGGGAGATGCGGGCATGGCGCAGCGATGGGGCTGATCTATCTGTGCCCCTGTCTGCAACTCGCGCGTTCCCTGGGCTGGCATTCTACGCGCGGGGCGAGTCGCATTCGGCCCAGAAGCTCCTGGCCAACTCCATGAAAGAGGACAGCGAGATCACGATAACGTACCAGCTGCTGGTCACGGGTAAGAAGCCGCCGAGCCTGGCCAAGTTCCTGACTAACTCCACCGCGCCCCGCAACCAAGTGGGGGCGCAACAGGTGGCAGACGACGTTGCGTTCGTCAAAAACTTCGGCTGGGCCCCCCAGCGTTTCAACAGTCGGGCGAGGCCCTTGGCACGGGAGAGCCGGCGTAGGGACGTCATCTTCAATGCGCTCGGAGGGGGGCCCCAGGGGAGCGACCAAGATCGGCGCATTCTCGCCCGATGTTTCTTGGAAGGGCTCGGGGGCGAGAACAGTTCGCGCCTGCTCCTGGGGGCGTTGCTGGCGGACTTGCGCGCGGAGCACTACTCCTGGGTCGCTACCGGAGACAAGAGCAACCCCGACGCTGCAAGCGTTCAGGCTAGGGCCAACGATTTCATCATCTCAAGGCTGGACACGCTGTTCGCCCAGGGGGCG